TTCCTGTGAATCTAAAGCTGGACCTTCTGAATTGACCCTTTAATTTTCTTAAGATGTCATAATTGAACTATGGATTAGTATAATATCTGTAAGAGCTCCCAATAACATGTAAAATAAAGAAAGAAAATTAAGGATGTAAGGGAGAGAAATATAGTGAAAACTTTTTTTTTTAAAGATCATTTTATTGGGGGCTGGTACAGCTCTTATAACAATCCATACATCAATTGTATCAAGCATATTTGTATATATGTTGCCATCATTATTTTCTAAACATTTACATTCTATTTGAGCATGTGCTGTCAGCTCTTTTTACCCCTCCCCTCCCTGCCTCCCACCTTCGTGACCCCTTGATAAATGATTATTTTCATATCTTGCACTGACCTCTATCTCCCTTCCCCTGCAGTTTCTCCCCCTCTCTTCACCCCACCTTCCCCCTACCCTCCTGGTATCGCTACTCCCATTTCTGTTCTTGAGGGGTTTATCTGATCTGGATTCTGTGTGTCCTGTGCACATGCTCTGGTCTAATCTGCAGTGAGAGGCAGCACTGGGGGCATGATAGTGGGGGGTGAGGAAGCCTCAAGAAACCACAGGAATATTGTGTGTTTCATTGGTGCTATACTTCACTCTGGTTGACTCATCCCTTCCTTGTGACCCTTCTGTGAGGGGATGTCCCATTGTCTACAGATGGGTTTTGGGTCTCTGCTCCGACCCCCCTTTTTCTCAACAATATGGTTTTGTTTGTTTGTTTGTTTGTTTTGGGTCATCTGATGCCTGTTACCTGCTCCTGTCAACACCACATGATCACAGAGGCTGGTGTGCTTCTTCCATGTGGGCTTGTTGCTTCTCTGCTAGATGGCCACTTGTTTAACTTCAAGCTTTTAAGACCCCTGACAGTCTATCTTTTGATAGCCAGGCATCATCAGCTTTCTTCACATTTGCTTGTGCACCCATTTTGTCTTCCGTGATTGTGCCGGGAGGGTGAGCATCACAGAATGCCAGGTTGTTAGAACAAAGTGTTCTTGCATTGAGGGAGGGCTTGAGCAGAGGCTGAAATTTCATCCACTTCCTCAATGTATTGCCATATAAATATATGTACCTATATATTATACCTCTTTTATGAATTAATATATATTTATATAAGTGCACACCTATGGAAAACATTTTTAAAATAAGGCAAAACCAAAATAAAGTACAACTTTTTGTAATTAAAAAAAAGTTCTCACCTTTTTGCAACATTACTTCACCTATTATATGTATATGTTAGATAGTCATAGCTTTCACAATTCAAGAGGTACACAAGGATGGTTGTATCATGAAACATCTCCCAGCTATATGGTTCTCTAGTCCTATAGTTCTCAATGGAAGGAAATATTTCATTTATAAGCCTTTCCTAAAAACTTGCATTTCAATTCTTCCTCATACAACACATTTTTCACATGCACAATGTCTCCACTTCCCACCTTTTGAGAATTCTAACAGTAGTCTCCCCTGGATTCTAAGATTCCCTGTTTTGTTAATTTCCAAGGTCTTATTTTTGTCTGCTCTCGTCTTTTTTGTTGGAAAGGGCATGTGTGTCTACTCACATATAAGACAACCCTGAAGAGGTACGATCTCAGAAACTCAGGGGCAGCTCTACCTTGCCCGTGACAGGATCACTGAGTTGGCGTAGACTGGATGGCAGTGAGTTTGGTTTTGGTTGGAGGCACAGTGGGTCCTGTTGGATTACTAAAGGAAAGACTGGTGGTTCAAATCCACCAGTCAGTCCTGGGGAGAGGGGAGGAAGTTTGCTTCTGTCAATGGACAACATCAGAAACCCTCTGGCACAGTTCTGCTCTGTCCTATGGGGTCACCATCAGTCAGAATCTATGAAGGCACGAGTCTTGAAGAACAGCAGATTAGAAGCTTTATCCATGTACAATTCATATTAATTTAGGGTGGTCAAAAGCTTAGTTTTGTTGAGGAAACTGAAAATGTATTGAAGGCCTTTTTCCGCAACTGTTTTAGTTTTATTACTTATCTTTTCACTTAAACCCTTTTTCAATCTCACCCCAACACCTCCTGCTCCTGGCCCCACCCCTCATCCCCACCCCCTGTACCTGCTGCCTTGCCCAGAGGTCTCGAAATCCCAGAGGGATTTTCATTTACTATGCAGGTATGCATTGGCTTTCCAACCTACACATTCACTGTCTTTGGGATTAAGGGAAGCTTGTGTGAGCATTTCTCTGATAAATTCCTCCCCTGGGACTCCTTTTTCCTGTTGGGACAATCTCCCAGGCCGACTGGATGAGGCCAGGTCCTAGGAGTTAACGCTCTCCTAAGCTGACCTTCATGGTCTCTCCAGCTCAGCCCACTGCTTGTCCCCTTGAGGTGCTGACCCTCTTCTGGGCTCAGAGGGCACATTGACTTGCTTCATGTTACTCATCACTTCTGCAGGTAGACCCCAATTGAGGCAGCCAACACTGGTATCTCATTGTTGTGACCTCATCACACACCTTTTAGAAAGCCCCTGACATCCTAATGGACCTTCAGGAGTAAATCAATCCATGTGCATAATTCCATGTTAGAAACCCTGTGCTTTACCCACTTCTCTCATTTTCCATATTTCTGGCCACTCAAAAGCACCCCCGTCCCATAAAACCTCCCCCAGCATCATGACTGGAAGGACGCTCTCCCTGTAAAAAGTCCTGTGGGGCACTTCAGGTCTCTACCTGGGACATCACAGACTTCATGGCGATGGTATTTAAGTGCTCCTGGCAGGTGCAGAGACCTGCATGTTGGAACCACCAGCACTCTGCAGGAGAAAGATGGGGCTTTCTATGCCCATATAGTTAATCTTGGAAACCCATAGGGGTCTTCTACAGGGAAACCTGTCCTATAGGGTCACAAGGAGTTGGTAATGACATGGCGTTTTTTGTTTTTTCTTTTGAGTAGGTCTGGTGGCATAGTGGGTTGTGAATTGGGCTCTTAGCCATGAAGTCAGCAGTCCAAATCCCCCAATAGCTCCTTAAGAGAAAGATGAGGCTTTCTACTCCTGCTTTTACTACCCTATAGGGTCAGTGGAACTCTGAGGGCATAATGGCTACACTTGGGCTGCCATCTTCAAGGCCAGCAGTTCCAAACCACCAGACACTCCTGTGAAGAGTTCCAATCTCATAAACTCCCAGGGGGAGTCTACCCTGTTCTGTAGGGTCACTGAGTCAGAACTGACTTGATGGCAGTGTTTGTTTTTTTTTGGTATTGGGCCCATGAGAGCCCTAGCAATATAGTGCGTTAAGCACTGAGCAGCTAAGCACAGGTCAACGGTTCTAACCCACTAGCTGCTCTGCAGGAAAGGATGAAGCATTCTGCTTTCTTTAAACTTTAGTCTGTAACACCCGAAGTGCTTCTTCTCAGCCCTAAGGGCCACTAAATTGAAATCAACATGATGGCCATGGGATATTAGGCCTGTAAGAGGCCCTAGTAGTTCTGTGGGTTAGGCTAACCACAAAGTTGTCAGTTCAGATCTACCAGCTGCTCTTTGGAAGAAAGATGAGGCTGTCTGCGTTTACCTTGTCCTGTAAGGTCATCCTGAGCCGGAGTCGACTGAACAGAGTGGGTTGGGTTTGGGTTTATTAGGTCAATGGTGTAACATTCTTTACTGTTTTCTGGGAACTAGATTCTGTAGCAGACAAAGTAGAAATGAAAAGCAAAGTATCTCCCCGTATAGAAATAGCCCGTACATTTATACCTTAAGTGGAATTTGGTATTCTCTTCTCCAGCTTACTCTCTTCCACCCAACTAAAATGAAGGCAGCCATTTGTCTGTGCTGCTTGACCACCCACCTGACAGCCACCCCAGCTGCCGTCAACAGGCTCATCGAGGCAAGACAAGCTGCAGAAGGGCAGGTCTCACGGTCGACATTAAAGATGACACAGCGGAGGACAAGACTCCGGTTCTGGAGTCTGACAACAAATCCTGCCTCTGCACGGAAGGCCCTGAGATTAGTGACTTAACCTGAGTGTCAGGGTCCTCAGCCAACATGGAGATAAGACGCCCTTCACAGGTCCCATGTGAGGGCTAAAGAGATGAATGTGTGCAAACTTAGCAGTTTGTACCACACAGTCAACTAGGGGAAGCCACTCCACAGCCTTCCTGTATTCTCAGGCTAGCCACTGCTGGCTTGGGGTTAGAGTTCTCCTTCATGGGGGCAGAAAGAATTCTGGATTATAAAGCTCAAGTCAGCTTTACAACTCAAGAGAAAATCTCCGGCAGGCCGTGCCGTCCACTGGAGCAGGCAGAGGAGCAGGGCTGGCAAGCTGTAATGGGCTCCATGTGGGTTTGGCATCACGTGTCACTTAGTGCCACGGACTAAAGCTAGCGGAACATGGCTTCCTCTGGAAACAGGCTGTTTCTACTCCAGGACCACAAACGGGGCCACCAGATGCTGAAACCGAAACCCACTGCCATTGAGGTGATTCCGACTAGTCGTGCCACTATAGGGCGGACAGAACTGCCCTCTGGTTTCCCAAGTCTGGGACTCTTTACAGGCGCAGGCCTCCTTTCGCCTATGGAGCAGCTTGTCGGCTTTGAACCACTGACCTTGTGTTTAGCTGCTCAATGCAAAATCCACTATGCCACGAGGGCTCCTTCATTTGTCCACCAGCACACCAACCAAAAGTCTCAAACAAAACCAAACTCACTGCCAGTCAATTCTCACAGCGACAGGACAGGGCAGGGCAGAAAGGCCAGTTAATTTTCGAGACTGTTAACTATGGGAATAGAAAGCCTCATCTTTCTCCTAATTGGTCTACAAACACTGGAAAAGGATCAGAGTCCTCCAGTACCCTAACGTTGTTTGAATGGCCAATCCATGAGGCACCATTATATCTACTAGTGGCCAGAAACACCACCACCCCCATGTTCCCCGGCCAGGTGTTCGGCAAAGGCTGCTGTGTGCGTCAGGGATTCCAAAGTCCCAGGTTAAATCCTTCAATGGCTGATCAGTCAGAGACAGAAGAAAGCAAACACACCCCTCTCTCTCTTTTAATTACTAACCAGAACAAGCAGCAGAGGGGCCCAGCTGCTCCCTGCTGTGCCCCACGGGGGGGGGGGAGAACCAGAGCACAAGCTGTCCCTCTGGCCTGCCTCCGATGGCAGGGCTCGTTGGGCTCCGCCCTGGGCAGAGCTTTATTCCAGGGCAGCTTCCCTAATCCCAACTCCCCAGGCAGGCCTGGTTGCTGGCAGTGGGAAGAATACTGTAGTTCCAGTCTCTGATTCCTTAAGCCTCAGTTTGGCTCATAGTCTCTCGTCCTTCTGCAAGCAGCTCCACCTGGCCCTGACCCGGGAGCCAGGGGTAGCAGTGTGACTTCAGTCACCCTCGGATGACTCCTCTTCAGCCTCTTTTAGCCACTGGATGAAGCGCTGCAGCTGTAGGGAGAGAGACCCACAACCTCCTGTTCACTCAGTGGGAGAACAGCCCCAGGGCCAACCCCCCTGGAGTGCAGGGCGTCCAGGGTCCAGGGCGGGGATGCAGGAGGAGGAAGGAGGGGGGCAGCCCGGCTCACCTGCTGATTCTTGCGCAGTTGCTGGCCCTTATCCGTCGTGTCCCTCTGGTTGAACCAGCTCAGGATGGTTTCCTCAGCCAGGACCTCCAGCTGGTAGAATGCCATCAACACCTGCAGAGGGCCATCACAGGGGAGCTCGGGGGTTTTGGAAGAGAACATGGACACCAAAGGGAAGTGTGGGCTTCTCTCGGCCATGGGGGTGGGTCTACGCTCTGGACCTTGGCTGAGAATTGCCCTGTCCTCCCCAGCCCCAAGCCAGGCCTTCCACGGCTGCCTCACTAGCCTGGCTCCATGCTGCCATTTCCAACGACAATCTTTATGGTTGGGTGTTGGGTCTCCATGGGAAACACCAGGCCCTGCTGCAGGGCAAAAGCAGGGTTATGGAACCTGAGGTGGTCCTGACCTTGGCCATGCACGGACCAAGGACGTCATGCTCCAGGAAGAAGTCCTCAAGGGCTGCCAAGGCTTCCAAATGGTCGGCCGCACGCTTGATGTAGTTCCTGAAAACGGGGCTCCAGGCTTTGAGTAGCTATGAAGGAAGGAGGAAGACACGGCCATATAACCCTGAGCTGGCCCTGCGCACAGATAGCCGAGAGCAGCATCGGTGATGGAGGTGTCACACCCGTGGGGACGTAAGAGGGAGACAGGTGGTACGGCCCTGTGGAGTCACGTCAGAGGGGCTTGGGAGTTGCTGGCAGCCAGGGCTGGGAGAAAAAGGCTTCCTGTGGATAGGAAAGAGGGCTAGTTGCTACTTGCGGCCTCAAAATACCTATTCCCTGCCTAGAAGTCCGTCTCATTCTGGACCAAATTCTTTCCCATCAGAGATCTAACTACACCAGTCTGTTCTGGGTCTACTTTGCGGGCGGGGTGGGGTGGGCTGGGGTAGGGGGCAGCTGTCTAGTATGGTCACAGGAGCCTGGGGGTGGAGGAGATCACACAGTGGGCTGCTAACTACAAGGTCAGCAGTGTGAAACTATCGGCAGCTCCACGGGAGACAGATGAGGCTCTCGGAAAGGGACAGGGGCAGTTCTGCCTGGTCCCATGGGGGTCAGTCGGCTCAATGGCAATGAGTTTGAGTCTGGGGTCTCAGAGGCCCCCAGGTACTAAAGCCAACTTGACTCCTGCAGACCGCTCCAAGGAGAGAGCAACTACAAGTCACGTCTAAGCTCACAGCGTGCGACCTCCTCCTCCTGTCTTTCAAGTCGACTCAGGACGGATGTGGCTCTCTCCCGCTCCCACCCCTCGGGCCCAGCTCAGTCTGTGCTCACTGGAAGCAGCAGGGCACGGTAGCGGTTTGGGTCGAGCAGGGCGTCCATTTGCTGCAGGGGGAATTCCAGGACCACGTGGATCAGCACCTGCATCACCTCCTTCAGGCTTATGTTGTAGGCATACCTGTGGGGAGACGAGGCTGGCTTGAGTGGCCTCTTGGGCCCCTAGCATGCTACAGACAGGATGCTGACTCTGGCGTCAGATGGGACAAGGTGGTTCTAGATGGGGAGTCTACGCTAAGGCTAGAGCCTGCTAGCCTGCCTGCTCCAAGTGCTCCTGGTCCGGGAGAGGGAAGGAGTGGACTCCTACTTGGAAGCAGTGGCTGCGCCTGCCTCGGAAGGCCCTGTGGGGCTGGGAGGAGAACCGGACCTGCTGCGCTTACTTGAGAGAGTTGATCTCCAGGACGAGATTGTCACAGGAAATGTTCTCCTCTCTGCCCCGCTGGAGGGTTCCCAGCACCTCATTCTGGAACACTGGAACCAAAGCGAGAGTGAGTTCATGGGGCAGTGTCGCTCCTTACGTTCTCAACCACCGCGCCCTGCCTTCACACCAGCCTCCTTCCGAGGGGGAGCACAAGTCTTTGGCGGCAAAGAATGAACTGGAGGTTTTCCACTGCTCCCCTGGCCACTCACCCTTGACATCATCCAACTGTGGGGAGCCCGCCCGGCTGTCCGGCTCCTCAGAGCCCAGGCTGTGCTCGCTTTCACTCTCGCTCTCCTCATCCATGCTGAGCTGAAGTCCTGACACCCACCAAGGGTGAGGTGAGAAACAAGCCCCGTGAGCCAAAAGTCACGGACAGAAAAGGAACCTTGAACAAGGGACCCCTTCTCCTTCCAAACAGTCCCACACAGCTGGAGCGGATGGCTCACCCCACAGATTTTGCTGTGGCTCCTCCTCTTCCTCCAGGCTGGTGTCTGCCGCTTTCCAGAGGTAGCCCTGGCCGGCCACGCCCACCTCAGCTGGATTGTAACCTGGGACAGGCACTGACCTTTAGGGCAGGCCCAGCAGAAGCCGGGCCTCGCCAGGACACCCTGGCTTGCTGGGGGCCCACACCTGCTGAGCACACCTTTCAGCTTCATGTGCCCTTTTTCTTGGTCGGCCGCAGAATCGTCGCTGAACTGGCCGTCATCCTCATCCTCCTCTGCGTCCGGAGGGTGCAGGGAGATCACGGAACCCTCGGGCAACACGAGGTCTGGGCCCACCACCACCTAGAAGAAGGGGTGGGCGACAAGAGCCACTAGCTTTTTGGGGAGAAGGCAAATGCCACCACTGGATGTGGACACTGCTCAGGCTGGGCTAGGGTGGAGACAGGGCAGGCCCCGCTGGCTCAGCACAACCACCCCTGACCTTAGGGCCCGTGTGCAGGGCAGAGCAGGCTCACCTGGGAAGTGAGGACACAGTGCGGCTTCAGTGTGACCCGCTCCTTGACCTCCGCGTGGTCACAGAGCACAGACTGGTGGATCTGTGCTCCGGCCGCCACCTGGACGCCCCGCCACAGGTAGGCCTGGTCAAGCACCACGTTATCACCTGGCTCAGGATGGAAGGACCCCTGGTCACTCAGAACCCCAATGCCAGACACAGCTCTCGTGTAAAGTGGGCTGGACTGACACCAGTGCCCACCTAGCTCCAGTACCCCATCCCCGATGCACCCCAAATCCCTGCTCCCTCTCGAAGCCCAGGCCCGAGAATAGATCACTGGCTCAGCCTGACCATCCTCTACCAGGCTCCGAACAACCAAGAACCTGAGAACCTGTAGGACTGCTGGGCACCCCCTACACTTTAGAAGTGTACTCATGTCTACAAGTAGAATCAAATGATTTCGTTTTTGATACGTTTTAGAATCAGAGTCTTACAAATGTTTTAAAGGGACAGTGCCACCAGAGGTATCGTAATTCTATGTGAGTTACTATCCAGAATATTAAGGTAGAGAAGAAACTAGATTTACAATCAGAAGATTCCAATGAAAATCCCAGGACTGCCTCTTACTAGTGGTGACCTTAGGCAAGACAATCTATTGGAGTCTGTTTTCTTAGCTATAAATTGAAGACCCATAACAAACACCCACTTACAAAGTTTTGGTGAGGATTCAGTAAGATAATGTATGGAAAAGCCCTTTATAAACTATAACACGCTAAACACCTGTTATTGGCATGCTAACCATCTACCTGGTCCTGAGTGTGAATACAGGGTGCCCTGGAATGTGGGGAAGTCACCCACAGCAGGGTTCCAGGAGGCATGCCCTCCCACCCCCTTGTCCGCTCTTGCTCCTAGGCCCACCGGCTTGACTTCCCCACCTGCGCTCACCAATGTGGCAGCCAGGACCAAGGACGCTGTTGGTGATGGAACAATTGCTGCCAATGACCGTGCCTGAGCCCAAGAGCACGTTCTCCTCTAGGACGCTGCCGTGGCCCAGGCTGACTTCCGAGCCCCGGTAGATGTTGTGGCGGGAATGAGTGCAGCTCTGGGTGGGGCTGTCAGTGAAGTTCGCCTCTGGGGTGAGGGGGTAGACCCATCGGCGGATGACGTCGGCGCAGACGGCCGCATACATGTGGAGGTTGGAGACGCGGGCCCCATATTCCTTGGTTGCTATGTGCATGTGGATCTGGTTTCCTAGGACCTGGGCGAGGAGATGGAAAGGGAGGCTGCCCGAGCCACACGAGCAGACTGGACAAGCATCCCAGCACAACATCCTGAGATCCCACTGTCTCTACTTGGTACAGCCAAGTGGCCCAAGCTCTTCTGTGGGTACCGCTTCCCCTACCAGCTCGCTCCTCCCTCCGAAGGCTCCAGCTAACAACCGTGCTCCCAGCACGTGCAAGGGTGGCATTTGCAGCTGCTTCTTACCTCCTCATTCACCAACAGGCCTCGCACGAAGTCATCTCGAGTCTGGTAGTCAAAGTTGTCGGTAAAGAGCTGCGCCACCTGTGGGGGGAGGGCAGGGCTAACGCTACGTGTGTTCTCTGGCGGCAAAGAGAAGCCCCCAAAGACCTATCAGCCCCTCTAACAGTTGGACAGAATCCCAGGGCGATCCTGGAGGATAAGCTCACAACAGAGGATCTCAACAACAGAGGAGAAAGAGGAAGAGGGCAAGGACCCTGGCTTCTATGGGGCCCAGCACCCTCTCAGAGTTCACCTGAGGAGAGCAGATGCTGACGTGACAATCCAGCAAATCATAGCACACCTCCACGCCATCTCCACTGCCCTGGAACAGGCTCTGTGGGGAGCGGTGACATGGGCTTTAGCTGGTCTCACCTGCTGGCACCCGTCATCGTCCCACCCCATGACCCTCAGATGGGCACACACCAGGGGGAAAGAGAAACGCCGGTGGCCTTGGGTCTTCTGGAAATGGAGAACCCGGTTTGTGATGCTCTCCACAGCCACCACCACACTGTCCTCCTGGCAGCGAGTTGGGTGGCTGGGGGACGACTCTTTGAAGATCATGGTCATCACAGATACGTTTTTTTCTAGCTTCCGCCTCAACCTACAAAGGTCAGGAAGAAGGGAGTTACAAAACAACCCAATCCACCGGGCCCCAGCCGTGGCCCTACCCTTTCCCCACCCTGACCTGTGTTCCTCCAGAGCCCTGGTCACATTGATGTTGGAGATGACGTCCCCGTACACCAGCAGGAAGTCCGAGCGCACTAAGGCCTTGGCGTCAACATCCCGGAGAACGTCCCCCAGCGATCGGTACAGGTCTGACGTAATGATCCGGACCACATTGAGGGACGTGGGGCGGCACCACTTGGATTTCCTAAGGACGGGGGCAGCCCGGCATACAGGTCATGTGGGCCTTCTCTAGTCTTCCCCCATCCAGCATCCACATTCTGTCTCTGTGGCTTCCTTTGGGCTCCCGCCAGCGTCCTCAACTTCAAAGTCACTTATAAACTATAATGACTGCTTCCAGCTCTGTGTTTTATGGCCGAGAGAGAGACATGGCCATTTCCTCTCCATACTAGGATTCTTGCCCCTGACCATGGACTTGACCCCGAAGTCCTGCTGAGACCAGGGGCATACAAAACATCCTAGAAACACACTTTCCACGCCCTATTTGCCCTTCCAAAACCCATATCAAATTTCTGAACTGTCTGCCCGAGGCCGGAATACCCTGCCTTTATTTCCTGAGCTTCCATGACGCCTGAAATTCACTCTTTTTAAGGAAGATTTCCCCAAACATCTGCAAAGTGCTTGCTTTGTGCTTGGCACTAAGCGGAAGCAGAGCTCACTCTTGTCCCCACGGAGCGGAGCAGACAGTGTTTGGAAGCTCAGTGGAGAAACAGACGATGGTGTGCTTGGGACTTCCATACTGGAGCCATTAAATACAAATACAAAAAAACCCACAGGCCCAAACGTTTAAAGTAAAGAAAAAACCCAGATATCACTCTTGAGTATTCCTCACAAGAACCCCAAGATGTACTGAGGGCTTTATATGCTCAGCTCCCCCTAAGTGGAAGAAAAGAAGCTACTCCCGAGACCTTCCACTGGGATCCGAATAGACACTTGTCCTTGTACACTTCCCTGACCTCGCTACACGCACCCAGAGAAGAACTAGAGAAAGATGATGAAAGGAGGGAAGAAAAGTGACAAGGGCTTACAGCAAATGTTCCTTGATCTGAGACGCCTTCCAGCAGCAAAAGACAAAGGTTTCCTGGACCCCCGTGGCAGTCAGGAATTCCAGGGTGTAGTCAATTAGTGCCACATTGGCCAGGGGCAAGAGGGCCTGAAGGGTAGAAAAAGGGGGGTATTGAGGGGGCAAGGAGGATGTCCTGAACCTGTTAGGGCCCTTTCACTCCTCTATGAAGCATTTAATTTTGCTTTGTTTCTCCCACTCAAGGGTCACCAGGCACCTGAAGCTCACGGTGTGTTCTACGCAATAGTCTACGGCGGGCAGAGTGCGCACGGAACCTACTTGCTTAGCACTGGACACAGGCACGATCAAACTGTCCCCTACAAGCCAACCCTGTCTCCAGAAACATAAGCACCGCTAAGGCCTTCTTCGGCATCACCTTTCTTTCCTGGACCGCCCTTCAAAGGGAACGGCTCCGTGGGAAGGCCACGGTTCCCACAGCCTGCCCGCTTGAAGTCTTCCAAGCAAGCCGGAGGCGGAGCGCAGTGCCCAGAACTGCCCGCCACTCACTCGGTCGGGCAATCCCTCCGTCGTCCTCCTCGCCGGACACGGCGCAATGCGCGGGCAGAGGGTGGGCAGACGGGCCCTGCAGAGCGCACCTCGCAGGGGGCCGCGAGGATCACCTGCTCCCGCCCCGCCACCTGGGGGCCCGCGCTCACCCGAGGCTGGTCCTTGGAGATGGGGAAGAAGCGGCG